AACCTGTAAGAAATTGAATAAAAAAAGGGCATGGCATTTTCACCAAATTTCGAAACATTTTTTACGGATTGTAGACGATATGGATTATGTACACGCGACCTTGCTCAGACGGAAGCATGCAATATAAGCTATTATCGTCACTGCTACGCATTTATTCCGTTATTTAGTGTCTCCCTTCGAATAACTATTTCCCTCATTTTTAATAAAGCCCTTTTTACATAAGTTTAATCTAGTCAGTCCCCCGACCAACCCCGCTTAGGCATCTCTGGTATGCAATTACGTAATATCTTTGCTCGCGCCACCCCGGCGTGCGGGAGATTCGAATCAAATGCCTCCACGCTCCCGATCAACTCACTACACATTTCTGTAGCCAACTATTTGTAAGTATTTCTACTTTAATTTCTATCACGTTTATTTCTGGACACTCAATTCACCGTAAGCATTCATCCGTATTCTATACTACTAGTGTCTGGCTCGGTAATCATGGATACATGTATTTTAGTTTACGCCGAAATGCTTATCATTCCTTAGAGCCAACGCCCTCATTTTACAGGCCTTCATCCCGGTACATGGAAACACAAAGTATGGATTCTTATTTGGGATACAGTTATAATTATGGTGTTATTTATATTGTTGAAATATGTATCAATGATGTATGTATATGTATTTGCTATTTGTACAGCACCCCAGAATGCCGCCGTAAACCCCTGTGCACCCAACTGTTTCAACCCATTACCTCACTGTGCGCTGACGATTCCTTACCCCGGGAACGATTGTAAGTTGATGTAATACCAGTTGGTTTCTTTATGTGACTAATTCATTGGATTAATTGTATTAAAGGAATTGTGGACTCCTCCACTACCGATGATTTTGTCGATAAGGTGCTGCTCATTCGTAATTGGTCTGATGTTCCCTCTAAATCTATCGATGTAATTGTTTCATCGTGCATTTTGGTGCTGATATGATTGTATTATATTTACTCTGAATGTTTGTATTTGCCTTCGGCTTTAGCTTTAACCTTCATAGCTTAATATCTACATGACCATAATTACAAAATGCTTTCTTTGCTCAAATTTCTCATACGAACTTGGTTTGAATATTCCTACTAGCATGGCATAGGGACAGCATCGGTCATTGCACTTCCAGGTTGGAAATAACGACCTCTCCTCCCTTCTAATAAGATGACTCAAAAAAAATGTTTGGGTCATTGTATTTGAAAACGTTTCTAACAAAATTGAATCTCCTAACACATCAACCGACAACTGCAAGATATTTTAACTTAATACAACTGGTGTTTATCGGGTTTTTGCCAAAACGAATGTGTTATTGTTCCCTGAACGTTAACTTTCATTCAGATTGTATTTTCGCTTTTTAAACACTATTGTTGTTTTGCGGTTTCTCATGAAATTAAATTCCAATGTAACACATCATGACACATCAATGGACAAATTCTCAATTTCAATACATTTGCTATTTTTTTGTTGAGTTATTGCCCAAACAAACGTGTTTTTTTTGTTCAATAGTGAGGCCAATGGTGTCGCCATTTTTTTTTTTGGGGGGGGGGGGGGACAAAGCACATTTCCCCCCAAATCCTTTCTCAAGCATATTCTCAATTTATCATTTTTGAGGATGTGCGGGGGACATTTGCCACCCCACCCCTTTTAACATTTTGTTAAATGTGTATTGAAAATAGCAAATTTGACTTCACAACAATTTCTTTCTTGTTTTCTTCTCCGCCCCTCTTTCTTCCCCCCCCCCTCCTTTTTCGGTGGGGTGGGGGGGGGTGGTTACAAGCAGTCCTCTCCCCCCTCCCCCCCCCCCCCCACACACTTAAAGACTCCCATGAGAGAGGCATCGGAAATGATGTTTCGTCAGTACTGTTGTTTGCAACACTATTTAAGACCGTTAGGCCGGTTTGTCTCCGGCAGTGCGCCACCAATATTTTGGTCCAACGCGCCCATTGTCGATGAAAGCAGTATGCGAGTAAAACGCTCTTGCAAAGAACTGTAACAAATGAACTTCCCATTCACTACATTTCTTTCTTTGCAAGAGGAGTGTGTTGCTTTTTGTCTTGGAAAATTGAATTTCATTGGGATTGTTTTTTTTTTTTCGCGTTTTAAACACGATGTTGTTTTTGTCATTGCTGTTTAAACGTTTTGCGGTTTCTCACCAAATTGAGTCTACATAACAAATGTTAATTCATTCTGGTCTTTCTTGGGTTATTGCCTCAAGCAACTAGCGCATGAGCTCAGTACGAGTACGAGTACTACACTGTTTAAAGATTAGTCTCACCACCAATTCAAATTCACGCATGCATGCGCATCAATTGGCCCGAGGGAAAAAGCGAAGCGGCCCCTTGAAAATGCACTGGGTCCAAACAATTTTGTAATTTTTTTTTTTATTTTCTCCAGGATTTGTACCATCTGTCTTTTGGAAAGTCCCTGAATTCGTGATATGTATCATTTTGTGGTATATATATATATATATATATTTTTTTTGGGGGGGGGGGGCAAACAATAAACACTTATACAATTGATTTCGTGCCGTGCGCATGAGGTCAGGGGTGTCACGGTCTCACTTCTCCGGCGTGCTAGCTTCTCCGAAAGGGAAATTTCGCTTCAACACGCATGCACAAAATTGCGCTGTGGTGTACATTTTCGTCAGCTTTATTTGTGTGCTGAGTTCTTTGGGCTTGTACTGGTGCACGTATAGGATGTTTGTATGCATGGTTACAGGGTGGGGAAATCAGCATGAGCCAATCAATGCGCATGCGTGTATGAAATTGAATGCTAGGATACCAGTGTGGATGTTCACTGGTATCCACACGTCATTCAAGTCCATGACTACAGCGTTGGTTTTACCAAATCTAGACCACAATCACAATTAGGCCTTTATAATAAAAATGGGGGTGGGGGCTGAATGTGAAGCCAATGAGCTCAAACTTTAGTTGTTACGCATACTGCTAAAAATGTGCTTTAAGAAATCTTCAAACGGGTGTACAAAGAGCAAATGGGGCTATGTACCTTTTAAAGACATTTGCAAACATCAAAATAAAATATGTAAGTGAAAAAAGTCTCTAGCATCCTGTGAAATCATGGCGCCTGGTGTGCTGGCATTTTCAAGAAAAGAACATTTTTGGCATTGATTTCCCACGATGGTCATGCGACCATGGATGATTCCCCCCCCCCCCCTCAAATACTGCCCTCAATATAGTCATTCCACATTTTGTTTGCAATCGGTTACACATCCCTAAACCTAACACACCTATTAACACAGGGTGCAAGCCAGCTGTAGTCTGGTTTCCTTTATAATTTTAGCAAAATGTAGTATTTTCTGTTAAAAAAAATAAAGTGGCATTTTTATAGACCGATTACGACGATATTTAACTTAATTCAGGTGGTATATTTTGGATTGTTGCCAAACAACGAGTGTGTCCTTTTTTCCATACCTTTTGACTTTCATTCAAATTGTATTTTGTTCGTATATAAGAACTAATTTTGTTTTCCGTCATGTCATTTTTATTTTTGACAGTTTTTCAGGATATGAAACCTCTTAATGTTATACAACATGAAAAAACTAATAGACAAAAATTCAGTTCATTAAATTTGGTATTTCTTGAGTTGTTTTGCAACCAACGAATGCTGGCATTATCCTGGTTTGTGATGCGTCACATGAAAGGTGTTTTTTTTTAAGACAAACAAAAATTTACATTTGATTCGGGCCACCTGACCCCCCCCCCCCCTATTTTCTGAGCCAATGTAAATTGTGTTAGTTGAGGGAACATAACAAAAGTAAAAGACACAGTTTCCAGATCGTCGTAAGTCAGATTCATCCTCATACAACTTTATAGGCATATAATGGCCGATTAAAGCAGGTTCCTGAAGTTTCCAAAAGAGAATTGTTTAACTGCTCGTTCCCAGACTGCAGAACGTGCGATATACTGTGCGTACTTCACTGACTGAGCAACGAAACATTGATTGGAACCGATATCAGGGTTCAAAAGGAAGCATATGTCAAAGTACACGACTAGGGAGAATTTGACAAGAAATACAGTGATTCGATTTACACATAGCGTGGGGCCCTGTATTCAGCAGTGTACTGTGCAAGTCTACGTATGCAGCGGACATACAAATTCTTACTACATGTGTTCCGTAGACTGAATTCCAGTCTGTGATTGATGGTGGTAGTCGCACGATGCTTGTTGTCCATCAGTGTTCAATTTCGGTACTTGTACTGTATGTAAGTGACGACTCCTTGTCAAGTCTATCGGCACACATTATTGTTTAAGAACACTTCCTCATAAATTCAAATTTATGCACACATGCGTATCAATTTGCCCAAAGGGAAAGAGCGAAGCAGTCCATTGAAAATGCAAACTTGGGTCCAAAGAGTTTTGCAATTTTCTTTCAATTTCTCCAGGAGTTGTGCCATCTGTCTTTGGAAAAAAAACCTGAAATCGTCTTGAGTATCACTTTTTGGTCTAAGTGGTTTTATTGTACAGGATAAAATTTATAAAATTGAATTTTTTTTTTTCAAGAAATGAGACAAGAAAATATTTTCTCAGTGAAAAAAAACCCACATTTTTAAGAGTATAATAATTACAAGTTAATAATTACAAAACAACATTTGTTGTCTTAATCAACTTTGTTTCAGCCATTGCTTAATAATAATCGTGCTCGTGATGGTAAAGAGTGAGGATTTGGTAGTTATTGCCAACTTAATGACTGCAGTTTGAAGTTTAGAAGTTTGCCAACTTGGTATGTGAAAACTCAAAAGGCTAGGGTATGTCCACAGATTACAATTCTTTGCACTGTATTTGATTGTTTGATTAATATGTCGGAAGTTGTAATGACACATCTTCCAATTTGTTTACCACCTGGCTATAAAACAAGTTCAGTCGTCACGTTTCATTGAATCGTGAAGGTAGATGAAGCTAGTTGAATCAAGTTTGGTTTCGTGCCGTGCTCACGAGGTCAAGGGAAATCAGCATGGGCCAATCAATGCGCATGCATGTATGAATTTGACTTCATTGTGAACTGGTGTATTGCGCATGCGTGGGCCACTGGGCGTTGGCGCACCGTCACAAGTTGCTTGCCTGCCTGCCAAACTCAGGCCAGTGTTGCATATTGGTTCATACTGGCTATAACAACGGAACGGAATAATCGGCGTCGGAACCCGGTACTGTACACAAACAATCTGCAAGCCGGACCATGTCACAGATGTTCTCTATTTGTATCTACACTGATCCCGATTCAAGATCTAACACATCACTTCTTGGCACGTATATTGCAATCTGAGGAGAAAGTTCCTGAAATCCGCCAGGTACATGTCCGGAGATCAGCCAAAGCAAAGACAAGGCCAGAGTCAAACAGGTACGTATACTACTGCAGGCACTGTGTCGAGAGTAAAATTTGAACGATCTTGGATCTGTGATCAGTTCCTTTGGCCTCTGTGACATCCGTGCTCGCGGTAGAGTTGCGTTTTCAACATGAATTCTTGTTCAAGGCATTCAAGTCTCTTGTAATTGCATGCTTGACCCTTCATTTTGTTTATATTGAATTGTGAACCCTCGCCCCTACTGTTTCAAAATGGTGTCTTCCTCGATCTTGCCTTGCCTGGTATTTCTTTTCTCACAAGGTACTTCGTGTGGTGCTGACTGTATTGCGTCAACTATTTGTCTTCGGTATTTTAATTATCTGTGCATAAAGAAAAGTACACAGCTGTACGAAGAATCAAATTCCCTTAGTACATGCACATGTATTTTGTACAAGTAAGTGTAATGTTCAGGGGCGCACCCATACTGGGAATTGGATTGCTCAAAAACCATCAAAACAAAATCAGGCCAACTTTACTCACTCTAGCTGTAGCCAGCAAAATTCTCCAAAAATTGTCATTGGACAAAAAAAAGGTCCTCGGCATGTCACCAACCAAGTTTAAAAACTCAACTCAATTTTCTAAGCAGACTTTTCTTCAATATTTTGCACATGAGAGGGAAGTCAAGTCATTTCAAAACGAGACCACAGAATAGACTTGTACATGTCCAACCATGGTCCAACTGTTTAAAAAGACTGACCTCTTCCTTCATTCTCATTAGTCTGGTGGCTGGCTGTGGAGAAATATGTAGAAATAGAGACTTGTACCTGCCAGCCTATTATTTGTTTGGCACAGTTTATTGGTGCAGCGCTGAAGAGTTATTGGACTGGTTGTTTCAGATGCCAGTCTATTTTCTTGTATTGCATGTCGTCAGTACCGTACCTGAGTTTTACGACTTGCATACACAGTATTGAGTCTTAAATTGTCGGACTAGGAAGTGCCTGATATAGTGGCTTATTCACCGTTTCATGTGGGAGGGATTTGGCCAAATACTCCGATGAGCCTGGCGATGATTTTGAGCTTCCTACGCGCCTGGTGTTCTCGTGCTTAAACAAGTTCACAAAAATTGTTTAATTCACATCCCCTAAAAGTATCATTGATTTAAGGTTTTCAGAATGGCTGCAACCGAAGCCCAGATTCCATACCATGTACGCGTGTTTGTATAGGTGCAGACCAGTAAATATAGGCACCAATGAGAAATGCACAACCTCAAAATAGATCGAGGAGATGCTCATTGCTCCAACTGCTGATCGAGACACTTACATGTAAATCAAATGAAAGCTTGTTTACCCTCTTTTACTTTCTTTTCCATTTAGGGTTAACAGTGACTTAATATTGGCTGACTTTTCACTCAAAAAATTTTGCCTCGCGGATAAGCAGTCCTGAAGCCAATATCGCCATTTAAAAAAAAAAATATCCCGACAAATTAGAGCTACTTTGTGTCCCAATACATCCCAAATTTTCCAGAAATACAAGTTCGAAGACCATTTCAGAGCTAGGGCCCTTTATTTCCACCAACCCTCAAATCGTGATTTGGCCGGCATTGGCCATTCTGGGCCTATTTAATCACTGGTGTACACCACCCGTAGGCGTAATGTAGTTAAGAATACTACCAAGCTTTCAAAATGGCGGCTTCACGGCAAATCCTGACTGTACCATTGCCTTAACCGTATGGAAGTTGTTGTTTGACACGTTTCAATGATTTTTTATACAGGTTCTTAACATAATAACAGAGTCATTGTTGCCGCACTAGGCCTTGACTCAATAGCATGGCAATGCCTTCGGGCTTGAGCTTTAGAAATTATATTCCCTCGACAAACACTATTTTTGTGTAAATCTGTCTGTGTGGCCATTTTATGCACAAGCCTTGCCATTCAAACCGATCTGCTAAATCTCTAGTGTACGCTTCTGAAACGAAAAGGACAGTCACAGACCGCCTACATATTTGTTAAAGTGTGTAGAGAAACGAAAGTACTATTGCATACTGGATGTAATACACTGCCAAAAAAAATATTTTTCTTTAAATAAGCGCCCTTTTTCCAGAAAAAAAAGTTACAAAAAACCTGAACCTGTCTTTACCCATCAGAAATTTTTCCAAGGAATGGCACAATAAAATATTTCTTAGAAAGAAAAAACAAATTTAGCAGTGTGATATGTGGCCCTTTTACTAAACAAGAACTGTTTGCCTTAATCAACATTTCAATCAATTTGCTTAATAATTGTCTTCACTATGGTAAAGACTGAGGATTTGCTGGTCATTAGCCAACATGATGACTGCAGCTTAAAGTTAAGAAGTTTGCCAACTGGGTATGAGATAACTCAAAACTTGGTGTAACATAACTCAAAAGGCTAGGGTATGGGAACAGATTATAGTCCATTGCATTATTAGATTCTTTGATTTATTAACAAGTCAGAATTGTCTGTTAAGATACACCTTCCTATTTTTTTACCACTTTGCTATACAAATGTTCAGCCGTCGCGTTCAATTGAATCGTGAAACTAGCTGAATCAAGTGTGATGCAGTCTGCACGCACGCGAACACAAGACAAGCGAAACGCACAGCATAATGACGTTTGCATGTTTACACCCGATTAGAATAGAGATCCTCTTCTCTATTTCTGTTATTGAACTCAACATGATGACAGCCGCATGTTTGGCAAGATATTCAAGTGGTCCGATACAGTCTATTTCATCATCCTAGGCATGGGAGTAGTTTCTGTTCCAAGCCATAATCATCAGGTTGGCTTGATCCCCGGTTTCCGTTGCATACAACAACTGCATTTTCTCCCATGGCAGGTTACTCCTCAGCTACTGCCGGTACCCATTCACACTCCTGGGTGGAGAGAGCCTGACTCGAGTCAATGACTCGACTCAGGTCCGACTCGAGTCACACTTTCGACTGGACTCGAGTCCCTGTGGGTAAATGACTCGATTCGACTCGAGTCCCTCATCTGAAGACTAGACTCGAATCGAGGAAAGGCTATTAAGACTCGAGTCCCCAAAATATAGCAAAACTTTCCGAAATATATCTGCAATGACAAACGGCGCAATATTTACGGTCACATCACTTTGCGAATACATTATTACTTTACTCAAAAATAGAGGAAGCGTACAGCGGCCGCTTGTCGTGTATACACGCGTGTCATAGACCTTGTGGTTCTGGAACGTACAGAATACTATTTCGAAAGTCGTTACCAGACTTTTAACACGTTTTCCAATTGATTTCGAAGTTTCATCATTAGCTTTGGGCGATTTCAACCCCTTCATTGATGCCTTTCTATTACTAAGAAAAAAAATACATGCCCATTGTTTAAATGCTGAGAAACAGTTTTGCATAATGCAGTTTGGTGTTAATGTTGCCAGCGACTAGCTAAAACAATTCCAGACCCGAATCCAAACCAGATAGCTCATGTACGGAGCCCGTAAGGGGACAGGGTTGAAAAAAATGTTTCGTTCCCTCAAAATGATTTATGATTTTCGCCCGGGCGGATTACATTTTGAGCTGTTTTTTGTTAGCTCAAAACAGCTCAATTAACCCAATTTTAGAATGAATATGAATTTGCTAGTATTTTAGAAACATTTTGGGACGCTTAATATTAATTCTCTCAGGCAAAATAGCATACCAAAAAATCTTAATTATTTCGAGGGAACGAAATAATTAGTTTAAGGGAACGAAATAATATTTCGAGGGAACGAAACAAATTAATCAACTCTGTCCCCTTGCGGGCTCCGTACTTATGAGACCGAAGTTTTACTTCTTGTTAACTGTGACACAAATGACTTTCACTTTTGTCTTTATTTGTTATTATAGTGTTAAAATATTTGTGACTCAAATTGACTCCAGCTAAATACTTCACTCGACTGGACTGCACACTGTACTGTGACTCGACTCGACCTTCTTGGCCTCATGACTCGACTCGCCTCGAGTCACTTCCTTAAAACGACCCGACTCGACTCAGTTACAAACATCAGTGACTCGTTACACTCTTGAAAGAGGCAAGTTCCAAGAGGTGGTAAAGTGGCTTGAGCAAGTAAGCAAAACTACACTCACCCTAAATCCATTACGTTCTTTAACAAGAGATACTTGAGACAGGGACAGATTGAAAAATGGCTATACTCTATAAATATACTCTCTAATATGTATCGATATTTGCGATGTATTTGTTTTTAATCTGTGACAAAAGAGAGAGCTTGTAAGGATCAGATTTTCTTCTTCTTTTTTGGTGGGGGGGGGGGGGCGACACCATAATTATGATATTGATTTTTGCACTTAACCGACGTACGCCTAATTCAAGATCGATGAATCGTTTCAATTACACATCCGACATTTTGTTTGGTTGTAACAGCATTCTGATTGCGAAGCCTTTGCGTCTAGCGTTGTTAAGCAAATGTAATCCGATTACGTACATTGACGCTTACAACAAAGCACCAATGCACACCCCCTTCAAAACAAAATTTCATTTGTAACGTTCTGTTTTTCAGAAAATAATGATGCTCAGTATGATTGAACTGTTAAAATATAACGAAAGATGAAATTCTCATATCAGTGAAAACAAAATCGCCGTTATTGATGCCGAAACGCCACTAGTAAAGCTGACCTAAATCTCGTTGGGAAAAAATCGTTAGAAAAGGTCTCAAAATCTTTTTAATTATCTCACTTTCTAGTAATCCTCACAAGTTGTTATTTCACGAGTAGTTGAATACTTATATCATCTAAGTATATTCCAAATTTTATCTCAATCTGTTTTTGCAAATGAAAGTGTTACACCTTGAACTATCTCCAAGAAAAATTTCGCTGGACTTAGATTTTCTGCCGATTAAAACAACTCGTGGTTGTCAGGTTGTCTGATATTGCCGCAACAATAACGAGGCGCATTATTAGCATATTCATGAGCGTGACTAGGCGTGACGTTGTGTGGGTCTCGGTATTGACCAATGGAAGCTGAAAAAAAGCGGCGATATTTATTAATTAATAACTGGTGAAGGAGGCGAGAGTGCAAATTTTACTGCACACCATAATGGATATAATCCTCGTAGATTTGTGTGAGGCTTGAAAAGATTGACATATATTGTTAACACCAGTGTTACAGCTTGGAACACCTAAGTGGACGTACCCCAGCCCATTTTTTTTGCAATTTCGAAGAAAAATACTGAACATATCAAAACGATTTTTAGCACATAGTTGCATCATTATAAGGGAAACAAACCCTGAAAGTTGCACGAATATACAGTCTTTTAAACGGTAGAAATTGATTTTCAAAGAACTCGCCCGCGAACATCAACATGTCTGTGTGCAAGTTGTTTCATTCTCAATAAAGTATTGTGTGACCTTAAGCCTCCGCAACCATAGGGCAAAATAACAGGACGAGTATACATTTTGATTTGTTTACATAGGACGTTCCATTGCCGCTAGCAGAAATAGCAGAGTACGGGATCATGAACGTATCTACTACAGTTACACTAACTGCTAGTGACGGCGAGACATCTGCCTGGCCTAGGGGCGATATCTTTGCTCTTGTTTTCGGTCTTGTAGGAGCGGTGGGCGTAATTGTGACAATAGGTACGTGATGTTCTTGATTTCAATTTATTTTTGGCTTTTGTTATACTTAACCTTCCCAAATCCTCAAAATTTTATTTTAATGTTAACCGTAACCTTCCAATTCCTCCAAAAATGAAGGATTTCGCAGGATTGAGAATATATGGCAAAATAGTGTGGCATATTTTGGAGGATACACTGCGTCAAGGTCTTGGACAGTATAACAAATATAACATGGTTTGAGGGTGGACAGTCGATATTCGCTCTCCGAGGTATTTGAAGTTGACAAACTAGTTCCCGAGGCGAACTAGTTTATCAACTTCCAATACCGAAAGGAGCTAATATCGACTGTCCACCCGAAATAAACTATGTTATATTTGTTTACTATACTTCATACATATTCAGTTGACGAGGTTTTTTTTCTATATGCATCTAAAAAAAAATTCGGAAATTTTAGGGCTCACCAAAAGAATATTGTTGCTCAACTTCAATTTCTAGTTCGGTTCGTTTGCAATATAATACAGTTACTACAGTTGTAAATACAGTTGTTTTTGTACAACTTTCTGTTGTACAGGAGACATCTTTACGCGGTCCATAAATGTTCTCCAGTACGGCATTATTGAGCTCTGGAAATTAACATTTACGCGAACCGTGCAACCATGCATCTCTCCTGGGCGATGTTCGCGCGTGCGTACTGCACCCGTGCGACAGTTCTTCGATTGCTCTGTAAAGCGCATGCGTAGTAGACTGTCGCACGGGTAACCCATGCGACAGTCTACTGCGCATGCGTATTTACCCTGTGCGTGAATCCTCGCGCGCGCATTTGGTAAACAGCAAGAATAATTACATCTGGCACGTGATGGTGAATTGACCAGTGAGAGTTCGGCTCTCGATAATGAATATGTAAGAGGTATAGTAATACCTTGTATTGTTTATGCTGAGCCGTGCATAAATGTAGTCCTATATTATACTTGAAATCATCCGCACTGCTCCAGGTTGTCACCGGCTCTGCCTCAACATATTGAAATTTATTGCTGGGGGAATTTGCACAATTGAGGCAGTGGTCAACCCTCCAGATTCCAGAAAAAATGGATGGCTTTGGAGGATTGAGGCTGTTGGCAATTATTTCATGGAGGCAGCTGGAGGATTTTGCAGGATTAAGGTTGCATCCTAGCAACAATGCCAAGCGAGTTATAGTTCATAAACGTTTTGTGTCGAGGATGTCAATTCTGTGTTGGTTTTTCCCTCCGTCGGTTATTTCGTTATGCAGTAAACTCGGTTAGACTCGAGTCAACGACTTTATACTTACTAGTACATACGTCTTACCACTCGACCACCGAGCTATTTTTTTTTTTCAATTGATGCTGCATAAACGGTTGTCAGTTGGCTGGTTCAAGTCCAATGTATCATCGGATACCGCAAGCAATGGTTACTTTGAACGATGGAATTCTGCATCGGGAAGATAAACTGGAGGCCATTGAAGTTCCATCTTCTTCACTTTCTTTATGCTACCCACTGGATTGATCTAATACTATCGCACAGGATTGGATGGAATAACATCTTTTCAATTTTTTTTGTCTAATTAGCAAGATCAACGACTAACATCAATGCATCAATTGAACATTAAGAACTAAATAAGAAATACAATCTTTGAAGGTTTTCGCAAAATTTTAAAATTGAAATAATGACAATCATTTTGATACTGTTCTTTCGTATTACAGTGGTATGTTATCTCACTCAGTGCAGAAAAGGTCGAGGTAAGAAAAAAACGTAACGCAATTATCCCCACCGTAAAGAACGTGTAAAATGTACAAGGTACAGGACCGTATTTTTGAATTTCTGCTTAAACCGCAATTAACAAGAATTTGCAGGTAATTTACAAATAATTTATTCACAGTGTCTCCTATACCTAGTTCGTATAGATCAACCGGTTTGGTCATTACAATTCGTTTACCCGACAGGGTGTAACGTGCGGTCAACACACTCACAATCACGCTGTGATAGAGTCTTCGGGAAAATCGTTAGATCTGAAGGCATTTTAATAAACGGAATATAATTGTAATCACTGCCTTGCATTTCTACAATATTCAGTAACTTTTGGTGGTGATGGTGGTTCAGGAATACTTCCGTATAAATTGAGAAGATCAAGGAAAATGTTAAGTCTTATTTGTTTGGGCATGGATGTCAGTTAATTTTTAAAGAGAAACGTTTTGAGAACACATTAGTTTACACATTTCTACAGCCTGCATTTCCGAACATTTATGCCGAAGAAGGGGAATTATGAAACAATTCATTGATTAAACATGATATCATTTTATACACAGTGCCAACGCGTTTATAATGATGAATTTTCTTCTTATTCTTGCATCTTCATCCAGGAAATGGGCCACCAATATCAACACCGGAGGAGCGGGTAGGATTAAACCCAGGTAAGGATGTCTCAGTGTACAGGGTGAGTCAAAAAAGGAAAACCCAAATGGCGCCCTCTATTTTTTTATGAAGTTCTGCATGTAGCGCGTTCCAGATCTAGGATGTAAAAGCTTAAGTAATAACCTTTCTTTTAGTAAAAAAAAATCATTCAAATTGCTCATGTACTTTTCCAGTCATGGACATTTAAACACAAACACTGTTTTATATTTTTTTCCACGGATGTAAAAAAAAAGAAGTTATACTTCAGCAAAACGAGGACAATTCACATATCAAAAGAAAAAATACACCAGAAGTAACCATGATAACTGGCACTTATCATAACATTTATTCAAAAACTTGCTTCTTCCAATGTTAAAAACATGCTTTATAATGCCAAGACTTTAAAGTGTTGCTCTGCCTTCTACTTTGCTACCCCGAAGACTTATTGGATTACTGTCATATCGTTTTCATGAAACGACATAGTTTCATTTAAGGAAATATCAGTTAACCTTAAACGTGATCCGTGGATAAAATGTTAAAACTGTGTTTGTGTTAAGAATTCCATAAATGGGAAAGTAAATGGGTGATATGAATTATTGACTAAAAGAAAGCTTATTATTTGGGCTTTCACACCTGGATCTTGAGAGCGCTACATTCAGAAAATTCTTAAAAATAGAGGGCGTTATTTGTGTTTCTTTGCTTTTTGACTCACCCTGATGTGATCATTTTGGAAAACCTTTAAATTGCGAGAAAGTAGTTCTGTTCACAATGTCTGCAACATGTCTCTACACCTGTTTATCTTTACCTAAACCATATTAGAAGAATTAAAATGGTCATTGTTATTGCTTGCGCACTAACGTCTTGAGCAAATTCAGGCCGGCCAGGACAAGTTTTTCGAGCAGTGATCGATTTGTGACGTAATTTACGCCTCCGTACAAACAGTATCGCGCGGACGCCTCTTGTTAAACGATGGGCAAAGGTCTGGGCTCCCTATTGCGTTTTATGAAGCTCGTGGGTGTTGCTAACCAGCGGTAGAACCCCGTCCAAGACTCTGGTTTCAAATAGAGTAGTCCAACCATCAATCTTTCAAACAAAGCTAGTCGAATTAGGCTTTAAAGTAGCGGATCCGGGGGGATATCGATGATATTTTTTTTCTTTCAAATATGAACAATATAGGGTTTTACCCTTTACCGACGTATTTATTTAAACACTTGTATATGAAAACTATTACGATGTATCGTAATAATGGGGGGGGGGATACTTGTGTGTCCATCGCGATGGACACACAAGTTCCCCGCCCCATTTTTTCAAACTTGCTGTCACGCCTCTCAAGGATAAGTAATGGCTCCACCTCTGAAAAAGTTTGTCGCATGATCATTAACAAATACAAACATAAAGAATGCTTTCATGAAAAAAAGGAAAAAATAATGCTTTTATGAGAAAAGAATTTTTTTGGGGGGGGGGGTGCACAATTGTTTCACATTTCTGTCGGACTATTGCGAAAACTCTTCTTGATATCTTACTCTAGAATGTAAAAAAATCGCCCTAGACTGACAGTCACTGTATTCTCAGTGTGCTCTTGTGCGCACGCGTCCTGCTTCAAGCATTGATCGACTCTCAGCCCCGTCCTGCTTGTGCAGACCATCATTCTGCCACATATTAAAATTCATTCATACGGACTTGGCTGATATATTCATGTGCTCTGCATACCGTGCAAAGGCGTTTATATAGTGACCTAGTTTGTTCTCATTCTTATCTGCACCCAGGAAATAGACCACAGTTACCAACGCAGCAACCAAGAGGATTACACCCATCAAATCCTGAAACATCAGGTAAGGCTGTCTCAGTCTTTCGCGAGTATTGTTATGTTGTTTTACTTTTGGTATTTCGAAGTATATGGACCTTCAGCTAGGTGACATTTCAAAATTACCCCGAATAAGCCTCTGTACTGATGACCATCAGCGTATCCAGCTTTTGATGTGGGGGGGGGGGGGGGGGGGCAACCGCACATCTGCGCTTAAATGTAGACATGTTTTTTCTCCGGACACTTGCCCTCCGTAAAATAAAAAAACGGGGGGGGGGGGGGGGGAAGGCTGGTACCCATCTTCCAAATGGGGGCGCTCTCCAAAACTGACCATTATTATGTATACTATATTATTATAATGGACAGTTTCACGGCGCATTGTAATGGTTGATGAGCGGGTTTTCTTTGGTGGGATTGATGTCAGAAGAACTGTATAAACACTTCAAATCATTGCTGACAAAAAAAAAAAAAATTGTCAAAAATCATCCGGGGGGAGGGCAAAGTCCCCCCCCCCCCCCCCCCACTGGATACGCCTCTGCTGATGACGTCACACTGTGTGTACGTGTGTGCTTTCCTATGGTGTTTAGTGGACTGTGGGCCCCTACTGGCTCCATAGGAAAATGCATAAAGTTAGTGTAAACAAAGTGTGGCGTTATCATTCCGAGGCTTATTGCTTTTGGGGGAACATGTAAAATGTCGTCATCATTTGTGTATTCATATTTCCTAGTTCAATAGTCACAGTGTCACTAGCTGAGTTTGATGCATGGGATAGCCTCTACGAGACGTCTACTCCAATTACAATATACATGTATTTTTTACAGGATCCATTTTTTAATGAGCAGTTTTTGTCAGTCGCGTCATCAAAATGGTGTCCTCGTTGTACAGTAGTGTCCCCTAACGTGGTGCACTTTGATTACGTTTCCCCGACTTTCGTCAAGTTGTCAATTAACTTCTTTGCTGACTAGCTTTATATTCATTCAGTCAAGTACTGGCACTATTACCTATTAATTGCTGTTGCACCGTTGTCGACAATTTCAATTACTCAAAATTAGGCCCGAAATTTAAAAAGAAATGGTGGCGTCTGGAAATTGGGCGCAATATTAGCCGACGTGACGCACTTCAGCAATTCTTGGACATTCCCCCCCCCCCCAAAAAAAAAAAAAATTCCGAATTTCTTCAATGTTTCGAATTCTGATAAATCGTTATCATCTCCACTCCTAAATCCAACTCCATGAGCAAATGTTTCATATTCCAAAGGCTCGTTTTAGATTTGTGTCATTTGTTTTATATCATTCGTCCCACTGCCAAGAAAAAAACTAACATTTTTGTTAATGGATATCGTCTCGTTTAGTTGCTAATTAATCACCAAAGTTACAAACATTTTGCTTTTGATCTTTTTAATTACAGCGGCATTTTTCATGAAAATAGAATTGAAGGGAACGAATGTTCTCCGTATACTGAGAAGACCTAGGGAAATGTTACGTCTTGTTAATTTCTTTAAGAAAAGAAGAACAAAACAGCAATAATGTTTGCCGACGATTATCATTACCCAAACAAAATCGGTGAATAACCTGACAATTTCACCGAATATATAGATCAGTATTTTTCAAAATTCTGCTCAATACCACAATCAACAAAACTCACCGTTTACAAGTAAATTCTTCGCAGTGATATATTTATCTAGTTTCAATATATCAGCCGGTTGGATCATTAAAATGTTTTACCCTAATGGTGTAACCTACATTCAACACACTCAAAACGACGCCGTGATAATGGGTATTTGCGATAGTATTTTTTTTTATGAACGTACAGTTTTATAATTTAAATAACCAACAATTATTATTCCATTTCTACAAAATTGTCAGCATTTTTTGTGTGTGCTGATGATTAAGCAGGAATAAGTTATAGAATATCGTATAAAAGTTAATAACGTATAAAATTGGAAAGATCTTATTTGTTTAGGCATGGATCTCAATTAATTTCATGTAATCGTTAGTAAGAAGAGTTTGCAGAATAAAGTTACCAATGTATACAGCGTACAGGTCGAATCATGTGGATTGAACTTTTGTGCCGATTCATTAATAAAACATGAAAACACTCTATACACAGTGCCAACACGTTTTATGATGCTGTTTCTTATCATTCTTGAATATTCATCCAGGAAATGAGCAACAACCATCAACTCCTGAGGAGCGGATAGGATTAAACACATTGAATGCTGGCGCAGGTAAGGATGTCTCAGTGTTTCACGAGCATGTTGTCATTAAAGAAAAGCTAACCCTAAAAGGTCCGGGTTATTGTGACCATCTCACAGCAGGTGGTGGGGGGGGGGGGGCCTAAGATCTCGCCCATAGAGTGAAGCAAAATTACAGAACTAAGTACATGCATAGAATAACTTAACATGAGCATACCCAAGAAATGTCATGACTATAGGTTAAAGGATTTTGGAATTACGGTTCATTAATTATTCATACGCACCATTGGTAATTCTGCACAACTTAAATGTTGAAATTGCACGGCGCATAGGACAGCTCGGGTCGCGAAAAACGAATTTCACGGGTATCGCGGGGGGGGGGAGGCGGATTCCCCCCCCCGGCCCTTTTAGGGACAAGATGGCGAAAAGGTAGTTCTGGTAACTGTTTCTGCAACACGTCTGAACACTTGTTAATCCTTCCTAAGCCATGAGTATGTTATCATTTAGTCAAACAGTATGCAAATTGACTAATTCTCCAACTCCAAAGAAACCCTCACTATGACTACATTGTATAATGATTGGGTGGCAAGAACCGGTCTACCCCACGAAAACTATGGTTGAGCCGCTAATAAGTCGAAATTTGTCTGGTAATTAGTTAATAAAATACTTGTTTTAAAGTAAATACTATTTTTCTATTGTTATAAAGTAGCCCAAAAGGTCACAAAAAAATCGAGAACTAAAGTCGGGCCGCAAATAAGTCAAAATTTGTCCGGTAAATAGTCCATAAAAAAATCGGCCGACTTGTTGTTCGATGTTTCGTTTTAAAGTAGATACTATTTTTGTATTGATAAAAAGTAGCTGAAAAGGTCACAAAAATTCCTTTGCAAAAATCTAATAAATAGTATGTACAGTTCAATTGTAATCATCATCCACATTCCAACCAAATTGATTAACGTTGTTTACTTCTTAGGTGAGATATTTCGCCAGGCTATGAATATGAACTTGTTATATTTTCTGGCTAA